AAACTAATAATTGTGTCCTGTTTTACTTCACATACACAAACTTGTGTGTACAGTATTTGTCAACCACAATTTAACACAGACAAAGTTCTGTATATTCCAAAAGGAGGGGAAAAGAATCCTAAATAATTACATGTTGTGCAAACAACAACGAGCTGTATCCTGCAATCTGTCTGCAAGAAAAGTCTCTTGTCTTAAAAATACAGTAAACACCTCATATTTATTCTTGAGGGAAGCCACAACAGTGGATTTTCACACCAGCAATTCTAAACAAATGAAGCTCTTTCCTACAAAGTAAAATTACACATGCACACGATCATTGTTTATTCATACAATGCTAGTGCTTCACACGTTGTTTACACACAGGGTGTGTTTCATAGGGATCTTTATGCTGATTCCTAACATGTGTATGACATGCCAAACGACAATGATTCAGGTGTCGTGATCTGAGCTCCAGCAGGGTTTGCTACATGTCAGGGAAGTGAGAGGGCAAGGCCACGAGTGAGGGATAAGTAGGAGTGGCGAAGAGGCAGGAGATTGTGGGCATGAGGACCCCGGGGCTCACAGAGGGAGCTAGGTTAAGCCAGTTAAGGGTATTAGACCTCCTGGCTGATGAAAAGAGGCCCTCCCAGATAAAATTGAACTAAATCTGGCCTAAATCCACCCAACAAAGAGACCTCAGACTTTACTATTGTCCAGAGCAGAGTAAACAGGGGGTCCTGGATAAGCCTCACTTCACAGGGGACAAAGGAAGAGGGATGAGGAACAGATCTTACCCCAGTAGGCAAATGTAAGGATACAGATCACAGGGTTAGACACACTCAAACCTATCAGCTGCTACAGGCCTCTGCCCTCACAACACTCCACTAAAGCTTAAACAAGCCATAAGTTCTCCGCTGACCTTGACACAGCATGTCTCCTGTAAGTGCTTACATATTGCCCTGAAGACAGCAGTGAAGACGTCTTTGTGTCGAGTTCCAGGCTCTTGGACAGACATCTCCAGGCATTTCTCCTTTCTTCCTTCTGGCTTTTTCATGCATTCTGGCATTTCTCTTTCATCCACTAAATGGATTGTTATTCCATTGTGTCTATATGACATCTGAAGGATCAAACTTCCATCATCCCATTCAGTAAAGCATGAGGTGATTTTACCAGCTGGCTGCTGGGCACTTGGGTGCTTTGAGAAAAAAGATCACAGAGCAAGAACAAAAAAAAGCCCTCATCTCACTAGAGAACTTTCCAGAAAAGCAAGCATAATCATCCCGTTAATGGTTTTAATTGAGGCATCATCATAGCCGTCACACTCCAGCTGAACCTAGCAGGATAAATGTGTGTTCAATTTAGATCTATCAAACACTCCCAACCACTACTGCTGGAAAAACAAAGAGGGCCCCTGGCCCACGGGCCTTGTTCAATTCACCTGGCAATCATATTATGACACTCGGTTTTTTTTTATCTGCTTCATATTATCTCTGGGAAAACAAACCCCTTCATCTTTACTTATATGCCAAGACAATTGTTCTGGAAAAACCTTTGGCAGCCTACATTCACTTGAAATGTAGAGAAGTAGGCGTCAGGTACTATTACACTGAAGGGTGAGAGAAACAAGTGCTTTTTGTAAACACATATTCATACACAGTGACGAAGGTTAGTGTGCAATCTTGTAAGAAGAGCCGACGGTGATTGAGCAATTATTAGCTAAAGAAACCAAAACAGTGTGCACACAACAGAAGAATGTAAAAACAAAGGAGCCATTCAGCAGCAGTAACACCCAAGGTGTTTTCATAGTGACGGCCATCATCAACTGAAAGAAATGAAAGATAACCACCTCGGGCGACCAGGTGCTTCTTCCATTTCCCATGAGTCTGTTCACAGCATGTTGAGCATTTCTCAGTGTGTGTGTGGGTGTGCTCAAGAATTCATTTTAAAACAAAGGCTCAATTGAGAAAATTAAAGTCAGGGTAGGAGATCTGGTGACAGTGTGGATGATGTCGTCAACAACCCATTCAGAACGATTGTCACCATGACTGCAAATGCCCATAATACTTTTGCTGGAATGAAGGTTTACTTAAAGGTCTATTTATCTTTCATGACAATTTAAATGTGGAATGTGACCAAAATATAACAAAAATGACAAAGCTTTAGTGTCAAACAATTACCCTGTACACTACAATACTGCTGGGTGACAAAAACATAAAAAAATATTTCCAACTCTTTAAAAACAAAAATAAAGTGCAGTTACTGGTATAGAAACCATAAAAATGTGCATGTTATTCAGTGGCTGGGTTTTACTACATTGTTGTATGTCAGTGCACAGGCTGGTGCATGTGTGCAGGCTCCAAATGAGCAGGAGGAGGGTAGAGGTCCCATCAGAACCCTGGCAATACGAGACGATAAATAATCCAGCTGAAGTCAGCCGTAAGGAGAGTCTGCCTGTCAGTCCTCTTACACCAGAACAGCCTGGGGTTATCATGACGTGCCAGCACATTTGGTGTGAGCGTTTGACTGCTTCACCTCCTAATCGCGCCTCCTCCGGGCAGCGCTCTCCTGGGAGACCTCCCATCTTCTCCTCTCCATGCTCCCACCCTGTCAGCAGGCTCTCCACTGTAATACTGGAGAGTCACTAAACTGTGTAGGTGGAAAACATGAGAAGTTGTGGAGTGTGTGTAAACTCTGCTTAACATACATTTATCAGTTGATAATCACCGCAATGACTCAGTTATCTGTACAACGACATTGTTTGATAAACATATGTATACTGTAGATGCAATACTTTAACAGGGATCGTAAAATGCGATAACTGAAAATTACTAGCATTTCTTCAATCATGTTCGCCCCTTGTTAAATTAAAGTTGAAGTCAATTACCACACTAGAGAGTTTGCCTTACTTAAGCTTAAGTTTGTTTTGTTTTTCTTCACAATGCTAAACCTAAACCTCCCCAAAACTGTCTTCGTAAAATTTAATGCAGTTTTAAAATAACAGAATTCCTAACAAGCCCGTCACCAAATCTCAAATCTGTCTCAGGAATGTTGGATGTGCAATTTAAAAGAAGGTGCAGAAGAAAATGATATAAATCCCTGCACCACAGTAAACTGCCGTGTGTCATAGCTGACTATTTTAAGGTTGTGAGTGCATGAATCAATGGTTTGAGTTAGTTATAAAGAGAAATAATTGACAGCAAGCTTTCTTCTCTCTTCTGAGATATAACCATGTTAAACAGCAGGCAGGTTTGTACAGAAGGACTCAACCACGTTTAACACCATCTTCCAACTGCACATATTGTGACAGTGTCACAACTGTTTTTGTATCTTGTAAGCATCTATTTCCATGGCAGATGCAGGCTGTTTTGTATGCGGTCCGCACTGGCCGCATCCTACTCTGTGGCTTGTTGTTCTGCCCATTTCTGAACCCACCCATTTATTTTGGTTTGTCTTAAACTATATTTATATTTTCACTCCAACAAGTGGGATGTGTAAAAAAAAGCAACACACAGTTTAAGGAGGAAACTCCAAAGAGCTTTGCTTCTTTAGGTCACACAGAGTCAAGAGTTACTATATATCTGCAGTGTGTAGACCGGTCCACTCCCCTAAGCCAACTTTTTATTAGACGTAGCATGTTTTAAACGGTATACAATTGAAACACAAAGATAAGCTTGACTTGTTGACAAAGACAGACACTTTACACATGGTCTGATGTCTAACACATGTATTTGTTCAGGCACAAAATTCTTGGAAACCAAGATAAATAATAGCACAATGAAAAGAATACCATTCCTCAGAAAGGCCTATGATGTAATGTCTCTGTGTTCACATCTGACTAAATCTTTCACAGTATTTTGATCCTGGCACCACATGAAACACTGAGCGGGCAGGTTGTACTGGCAGGTTGTACTGGCTTTCCATGCATAACATTCTGTTTCAATCAGTTTTTGAACAAAGGATCAATCCAACAGTCTTTGGTTACAGAGGGTTCTGTCAGTTTGTGATCTGTGAGATTAATGATTTTTGTAATCAACCTCTAAAATCTATTTTACAATTAATTTAATTTCCTACAATAATTCAATAAAGCTGAAAATTATAAGGGACACTGTGACTTTTTGCTAGATTAAAGCTACAATATGAACAGAACAGTTCCAAGGGCATAGGTACCACTAACACACCAGACCTAAAGAGACTTTTAAAAGTTTTATAGTTTTTAAAGTCTTTATATTATGATATATAATAAAAATTTGTGCCACCTAAATAGTTCACAGTATGTCCATGTTGATCTCAGAGTTCACTTGGACTCCTGTTGCTTTTTAAAGAAGCCAGTGACTAAAAGGAGGCTGACACTCCTGTCCACCTACAGAAATCTCCTTCTGACGGTAGAAAATCTGACAGCTCCACTCCAAAGAGCACTGCGGAGAGTGAGCAAAAAAGCCACAGCTAAAATGTGAAGGCTTAAATGATGCAAGACAGTGGGCAGCTACTCAGGAGGATGAATCAGAATTTTTCAGTGCATGGGTATACACTCTAAATATGAATTATTAAGCTGCTATCATACCTCCATAGTATGAAAATAAATCCAAGGTTGGATGGAATGAGAAGGGGCACAGGTAGTGGACCTGAATACTGATGTATAAATAGATTCCCAAAGAGGTGTATGTACTGAAAGGCCACGAGGAAGCACAGCTGCTGCCCCAGGTCCATGCATATGATCTTGTGTTCTACCAGAGCAGGTGGGTCAGAGTACGGGCTATAACCTTTTTTTACAATGATTAGACGTGCAGATTTTAAAAACAAGGTTTCTCAGCACAATACATGAAAAAAAATGGGTATACAGCATAAAATCAGATAAAATCAGGTATATATGTTTCAAAAACATGAACCTGAAAATCACTGTAATTATTCACAACCTCTCAATTTATGGACAATGTCAGCCAACTTCACAGGCATGCAAACTTTTAGTCCACATTTCTACTTTGCAAACAACTCTCCCATAATGCACTCAGTATGCAAATACATGCACATTACAAAACCATTTTTAAAAAACATAAAGGTAGTAAATCCAACTAAATTTAAATATTTTGAAAAACATCTTTTGAACAAAAAAAACACAAGTACATTCAAGACTAAAAGCATTAAAATCCAAATTCATAGAAAACATTCTGGCCAAGTAACACTAAAGAGGGCAAATGCAGTTGAAAAGCATCTGGAAAGTTGTTTCAAAACCAAAAAACAGTTTTGAAGCTCACAGAAGAAAGAGATATTCCATGGTTCCTACGTCAAAGTATATCTCTGCTGTAACATCTTAACAAACCACACCTGATCATAACCTCTGCACAATTCCCCCACAGAAAGTTGAATAACCCCGAACCTTTGGGTATCAAGCACAAAATCACAACCATGTGTTGAGCAGCAAACAGTAAAGGTAGTTCAGTACAGCATGGTCTGGACAGAAGTATTTGGAAACATCAAAACTAAGTCTTTGAAGTACTTTGAAACTACATGCTAAAGGATCTCATTGCAGATCCCTGTATGTCTACAACAGTTTTAGTAGCTGCTAAAACACTCATCAGATATAAAACACTAGTAATAACTCTCCTTTCCGTGAGAATAGGATTGAAAAAAAAGTGATGTTTGTACATTATCAATGCTATCAAAGCATACAGATCCTGGTTTGTCATACAGATCATATTGTTTCAGTAAATCTCCTGAAGCTCATACCACATATTGTTTGCATTTTCACATCAACTTGAACCATCATCTTATGTATGCCAGTATAAGCTGATGTGACCATAGTCAAATGTTCCAATGCAGTATTTCTCTTTGTATTTGTGAAGTTGAAACTTGCTCTCTTTCTGTCCGTCCCGATCTATTGTTAATTACTGTTTCGTGATTTTTGATTGACATTCTTAAATCACAAAAATACATCTGAGAAGACCTTTGGTCAATTTACTTATATTTAAGTCTCTCACTCTATATATTCTATATTGGGACACCAGTGAATTTCAGTTGACGTTAATGTACATTTATTTTGGTCTCTTTCTCAAATTCTTCTTCTCTTTGATTTTACCTTCCTTGACAGATGTTATTCTGAGGCATTTGACAGGTGTATTTTCTGCTCTATGGATGTCTTCTGAATCATTGTAAGGCCTTCGTCCTGGTACGTATTTTGTCCTGAATGTTACTGAAAAAGCTACGATCAAGATATTGGATGCTATAAATAAAAACAAAGGGAAGCGGAGAATAGTCAAGTGAGAGCAGTTGTTATTGCTGCAGCGTTAGCTTGTGAGGGCTTGTAGAGTGACAAGTTTCCTTTTACATACAACTGTCTTTATGTGCCTGTCAAGAGTATCCAATGGTTTCTTGGAACGTCGACCCTAAAAAAACCAAACTGGACCACAATAAGAGAAAAAAGAGCGTTTCCTGTATTTTTTCCTGATAGATTGCTTCACTATCTCAGTGTTTAGTTCCTATCTCTGTCTCTCTTTTTCCTCTTTTAGACCTCAAGCACTGATTTTCAGAGCAGAATGAAGGAAGTATTTTTATTTTAATTCAATCTAAATCTAGAATGTTAGAATAAAAATTAGAAATGAGAGTTCAGAGTGAGATGACACTGAGAAAGAAGGAACTCTCTCTACTGGATCACCGTAATATTTAACATTACTCACACAGTAATGTGTGGTAGACTACTGCATGCTGTTGATTTCAATGCCGTGAGCTTGACTGTTGAGCGTGATGAGAAAAGGCTGACTTCCTGTTGCCTCTATATCACTTGACAGCCGAACACTGAGGCAGTGGAACACACCATGGTTCGGGGATCTCACCTGGCACATCTCGCGGTGTGACCAGTAGGAGGTGATGGGGTCTTATTGACTTGTCTTTTGTGATAGACACTGGTTGGCTGACAGCGCAGCATGCAGCATTTCTGGATGCTGAACCACAGAGCACAATCCATCAATTCCTCTGCCTAGCAACCATTTAAACCAACACCCATATCTCTCAACAAATAGTCGTTGACAGCCATTAATATAAATGCTAAATGTTCTATTAGAATCTAAGAAGCATCAAAATGCATTATATTTGCTTTACTAAAGATCTATAAACATGTTACTCTGAATGTTCCCCGCAGAACAATTTGTCACTAAATGAAACTTCACTCAACCTTCATTTATCATAATTTTGAGGGTAAAAATAACATCTTAGCGCTCTGCTTAACAAACAGTTCACAGATAGGATGTGTATTGTTCATTTTATACGAGAACAACATGTTCTTTGTGAACAGGAAAAGTTGGAATGCCATGTTTTTTATCATATTACATGTGTTTCTGCTCTGAGATAAAGTAATTGTCTTGAGGACCGAGCACCTCTCCTCAGACAGGGAGTGAATTGAGATGAACTTACTTGAGGTGAACTCCTAATCAGCTGCCAGACGCGGACACTTCCTCTGATGACTGGTGAAAGGTATTCATTGGAGAGGGGTGTAACATCATTGCATCTGATTGACTTGGCTTTCAAGCAGCGTGGGTTAAGGGGGCTCCTGGGGTTCGCCTGGTCAGCCATAACAAGAGAGAGAAAGGGAGGAAGATGGAGAGAGAAAGAAGGGGAGAGAGGCAGAAAGAAAGCACTCTTCAATAAATAGGTAGTCCATTGAGAATTCTGCAGCACTCTAATGGAGCCTCATCACAGCCAGTCAGTCAGTCAGGTGAAACAAGGTCTAACAGTGTTCTAATGAAGACAGCCCCACACTGAGTCTTCTTCAAACTGCCCAACTAAAAAGCAGAAACACTTATTTGCCTCCCTATTTCGGGGCAATATCAGAACAATGAAAGAGACCCAGTTCTAAGAGCGACAGCCAACAAATGCTTATGCTCAACAACCGTCAACGGACTGAATACAGCTGAGTTACAGCAGTAGGGGCTCCACTGAATCAGTGGAGCAGTGAAGTGCTTTAAGTCATCAGTGTATACAAGACTCCAGGCCAGAAGCTGAAATTACAATGGATGCATTTGTCTAAACTCAGAGAGTCATATCAGTGATTTGTCCGTACTTTTCATGTACTGCGCACAATGTATAGCACACACATTCTTTCTATAACAAAACATATCCAATGTGGTAAAACAAAAAAACAGAAGAAAAAAAAACACTGAGCTGTCACTCAGCCCTACAACTTTCAACCCAACGCTGTTTTTTTGCGTTCAAATAAAATGTATTTGATTTTAATGTTCTATATAGATCACAACACAAGTCAAACAAAGTTACCTTGTGTTAGAACTAAAGTTCAATGTACATGTTTGAAAAAGTCTTCAGTTGCTGTACTGACAGCTGTCATTAAAAGAAACACATAAAGACCATAATTCCTTGTGTTTGTGCCAGTGTCCGTCCACCCTTTCCTTCATCCCCCAAAGCCATAAACTTGGGGGAAATACGATGTTACCTGAGACTGTCTGAAGCCTATTTCATGGCCACATAGAAAACACTTTGAGATCTATCTCAAAACAGTTGATAAACTAGGGAGTCAATCACTGCCACTTTCCACCGAACCCAGTGGCACTGCCTAAGGACACAGCCGCTGGGTCAGCCAATAACTTAGCCAGTTGTCTCTGCGGTAGGTTCTCTCATTCTTTCACAGGGCTGCTGAGGGCTAAAGCATATGCTACGAATTCCCAGCTGCAGCTCCCATGGTAAACAAAGACATGGGATGCGTTTAATGCAGCTCTATTGGTTTCTCCAACTGACCTTTAGGTTTACATTTTTCCTCCTCAACAAATTGCTAAAGTTTTAAGAATGATGCCACATTGCTGTAAACAATGTTGGTGAGTAAGGCATTGTGTATGTAAGACTGAATGACAGAGCTCGACACCTCTTGACCTGAGGCTCCAAAGGCAAAACTCAGTCAGGTAGTCTGAAACACACAGCTATGCTCATTAAATATAATCTTCCATCATGGCTTAGTCATATGCACACATTTTTAAATAAACATGTCCCTAAATACACATATGAAAAGAAAGTGCTATAATTATAGTCCAAGGTTTGAAACAAAAAAAAGAAAGTTTGGAAGTTCCAGAGTCAACTGACTGTTAAGAAAATACCTTCAGTAATGTAAGCATGTGTTATAATTACAGTCGGTGTATTTTCATTGTTCAATACACTGTATAAACTAAGTTTTTACACACAATAACAGGCTTCCCAGTTGTCCACCTTGGTGTAAACAGTCTGAAAAGATTGCTCAGTGGAAGAAGCACGACTGGGGATCTGACCCGTGAGCCTTGGCAAACAAACCTTTCCATGAATTTATTTATGTTCACTTTGTTTGTACTGCATGCCTGCCTACTTCTAGTCCTGCAGGCCACTGCCCACACTGTAACTCATGTACTAAAACACAATCATAGAGTGAAACAGTTTTAACAAACGTCTGCTCTTTTTTTTCCCCCACTCAAAATGGACAGTGCCCAGTTTGCCCTTCTGTTGGCAGAGAACATAATTACAGGGTTTGTAGGTTTGTATTGGAATATTGGGGGCTAGATAAAGCCATCATTCCTACACATTAACTCTCTCAAACACACACACACAGTTGATCCAGAAACCAGCACTGGGCACAAAGCAATCAGGACAAGTGTATTATCTTTATGGTACAAGTCTATAATTAGTTTTCCCCTTGTTACAGAGTGGGCATATGTTTCATGAAAGAATGAAAAGAAAGATTACTTCAAACCTTAACCCGGTCCTATTTCTCAGAGATAGTTACAGCAGGCAAAGATAAGAGGAGAGCTACAGGGAGGGACTTTTAATGTGTCTCCATATCAGTATGTGAGAAGTTCATAGTGGAATAGAGGAGCCAGAGGCTTATTTCTTTAAATCACTACATTCCCATGCACTGTCTCTTCTCATTGTTAAGACGTCAATGAGATGGGAATTAAATTTGAATTATATATATATATATATATATATATAGTAACATTTTGTAACAACAGTGGTCACATTTAATAGTAATTACAAGTTTAGACGTTTTACTTTACAAATGAAAAAATAGCTCTTAATGGTTAATTCCCTGATCCCATCCTCCCTTTCTGCAGCACAGGTCTATTCACAACTGTCATTCAAAAATAAACCTGTCAAACAGAAGACCAGGTCATGAGAAAGAAAAGATAGAAGGGGGAAAATGAAAAATAAAGTGAGAAAAATCTGAAGACCAGAGGAGAGGGCAGGAGAGTGGTGTCCTGGGAGCAGAGAGGGCTACAGTGCCGTGATATTGAGCGGCTGGAAGAACACAGACTCTGATTTCTTCCCCTTCTGCTTTTTTCCCTTTCAAAGAGCACTTGAAAGCTCTTCTGAGGTATGGAGCAGGTGGGAATGTATGTAAAGACAGACCGGGTCTGAGGATGGGCAGGGCTGGTTAAGGCAGCTCCTTCTTTTTCTCTCCAACTCAGAAGTGTAACACTCTGAGGTCCAAAGGCACAGCAGCCCAGAGCTCCAGCCTGGCATCTCAGAGGAGCCTTCAACTGGCCAGAGGTGAAAATTGCAAGAGGAACTGAGCAACCAGGTTGAAGACCAGGCACAAAGACTGCACAAAAAGTATCTGCACTTGGAAAAAGGAGAGCAATGCTGAGACACATTTCAACTGATACTTGCCTTGCCATTTGGGCATTTGAAAGAAAAGTCAAGATAACCAACTGTCTAGTGCAGATAATCAAACAACCCCACTTCTTACTTGTCTAAACTTGTTTTAACTTGAATATCAATTATATTCCTCATTGTTCTCCCAATTATTAAACAAGAAACTAACTGTATTTGATCTTAAACTATGATCTAGAACTTTAATTATTCCCATGAGGAAAATAGCTTAAATATATTTATTTATATATATGTGTATTTATGCCTCTAATCCTTTGACAACTAATACTTTTGACACATAGGCTTCAGCAGATAACCAAAATATTTGGGTAAAACCATGTTTGGTGATATATAAAAGGCTAAACCCCAAATATGAATAAACCTCGACTGTGTCATTCCCAATTCAAGCGTGACAGCCTTGCACTTGATTGATATTAAATGACAGTGAGGCCTTCACTGTCAGCACTGTGCTGTGTGCTATTAAATGAAGTTGAAGGTAAGACTGCAGCATCAAGTGTGGTATTGGAGAAAGTACGAGTGTAGTAGTGACGCAATCCTGAATTTTTTTTAAAGTTTGCTCTTTAATATAATTGATCAAAACAACAGCCGAGCTTTGAACGCCTGGTCTTCTGAGAGCAACTTCAAACAGTATCAATTATAGAAATCACCATGGAGTAGAGGAGTCGATTCCTTATCAATAAAGTATTCAGAGGCAATCGTAAAGAGATTAAGGGCCAGAGGAGCCGAGTGAAATCCAAAGAGTGGGATAACTCAGCTGAATGGTGGATGGTCCAGTAAACTCAGGAGCTTCAGATGATCAAACAGAGACTATTGAATCTAACATTGAATAAAGCTTCAGTGGAAGAAGATGTTAATACAGTGTAAGCCTCTGTGGAGCAGCTTTCAAGCGTTCAGTTATGTATGTGGACTGAGACACATTACAATACTCTAACAAACAATAATGGATAATAAGCATACAATACTTAGCATTGTTGTATACAAATAATAAACTTTGAGAAATGAATGAGAAAATAAACCATGTGAAAGAAGAATGTTTCAAGCAAACTAACAATTAAAGGAAAGAAGTCCTACTATAACACAGACAATGTTTACACATTTTCCTGCATTTAAATTGTATTATTTTATTACACACTGCTCTGATGAAATAACAAAAAAATATTATACAGAGGTATTTATTATGATACCCTACTGACTCCTCATTTGTCCTTATTAGAATCTCCCTAATGTGACATGTGTATGAGGCTCAATGACACACCTGGAAAAGTTAAGAAAACAAAAGTGTATTTTATCCTTGGAAAAAAACATATATATATATATACAGTATACGTGTGTGTGTGTGTGTTTTTTGCGTCTACTCAACTTTATTTAACTAATTTAATACATTTTTTTAAAAGATTTTTTATATCTTAAGACACATTTTCCAGCCAAGTGAATACGTTGGTTATTTACAAGAAATCCTATTTTTTTAAAGCTTGTTTTGTAGCTGACAAAAAGAAATTAATTGTTTAACAAGCATTAGCTGATGATTAAAACACTAAGGAGTGTTATCAGATTGTCTCTGATCTACCCCACAGAAAACAAATACCCCCGTGTACACATTTACTGACAAGCATACACAGAAATATACATGGTCCTCCCGGGTGTCGGCGCTCCACTGTATAGATCTATTGACAAAGTCATGCCATATCAGTGACACCTTCGATCTTTACAGGCCTTTCTCCCTGAAAGCCTCTGTTGCAACACAATCATTACAAATTGATTGCAAAATAGCTAACAATCATGATTAAATCATTAAATTCGTGTCTGTGCTTCAGAGAATGGGGAGAAAATTAACTTCCCACCAACCTCATTTTTTTCAGGACACGAAATAATGATTTTCTGCCAGTCTAATTACAAAGCCAACATCTGATCAAGCC